CGGGCGGTTGCGCTCCGTCTGGGTTTGTGCCTCAGTTTCCCTATGTGTGGCAGAGCCTTGCGTCATCGGGGCATCCTCCATCCTAAAAATTCCACCCCGTGACACGCCTGGGGACGCTCCAGCTGTTGGACTTGATGTCCCCATGCCAGCGCATGTCCCCAGGGCCGTGTCCCAGGTGGACAGGGCACCAGGCAGCGCCCGGCAGGGTTGGGATGGCCTCACCGTTGGGTGCCTCTGCCCTGCCACCCCGCTGGGTGCCCACCCTGGCCGTGTCCCTCCTGGCCCTCAGCCCCCTGCTCCCACCCCAGGTCTGCGGGGAGAAGAACCGCTTCGAGAAGCTGATGGAGTATTTCCGAAACGAGGACACCAACATCGACTTCATGGTGAGTGGCTGGTGGGGCTGGTGCTCCTCTGTCCCCAGGGCATCATGTCCCCAAGGGCTGCTGAGCCATCATCGTGTCCCCAAACCATCATGTCCCCAAACCATCATGTCCCCAAGGGCTGTTGAGCCACCATGCTGTCCCCAAACCATCATGTCCCCAAGGGCTGCTGAGCCACCAAGCTGTCCCCAGGGCATTGTGTCCCCAAGGGCTACTGAGCCACCATCATGTCCCCAAATCATTGTGCCCCAAGGGCTGCTGAGCCACCATCACGTCCCCAAACCATCATGTCCCCAAACCATCACGTCCCCAAGGGCTGCTGAGCCACCATCGTGTCCCCAAACCATCGTGTCCCCAAGGGCTGCTGAGACACCAAGCTGTCCCCAGGGCATTGTGTCCCCAAACCATTGTTCCCCAAGGGCTGCTGAGCCACCATCATGTTGCCAAACCATCATGTCCCCAAACCATCGTGTCCCCAATGGCTGCTGAGCCACCATCGTGTCCCCAGGGCTACTGAGCCACCAAGTTGTCCTCAGGGCATCGTGTCCCCAAGGGCTCCTGAGCTGCTGGTCCTTTCCCAGGTCCCCATGTCCCCAGAGCTGTGAAACCACCATGCATTCCCCAGGGCCACCATGCCGCTGAGGGCCACCCCTCCACTGCGCAGTCCCCGGGGCAGCGTGTCCCCGAGGACGGCAGGCACC